GTGGGAATGCAAACTGGTGCAGCCACTCTGGAAAACAGCGTGGAAGTTCCTCCAAATATTAAAAATAGAACTACCCTACGACCCAGCAATAGCACTGCTAGGAATCTACCCAATGGATACAGGAGTGCTGATGCATAGGGGCACACGCACCCCAATGTTTATAGAAACGCTTTCAACAATAGCAAAATTATGAAAAGACCCTAAATGTCCATCAACTGACGAATGGATAAAGAAGATGTGGTTTACATATACAATGAAATACTACTTGGCAATGAGAAAGAATGAACTCTGGCCATTTGCAGCAACGTGGATGGAACTGGAAGGTATTATGCTAAGTGAAATACGTCAGTCAGAGAAAGACAGATACCATATGTTTTCACTCATGTAGAACTTGAGAAATTTAACAGAAGACCCTAGGGGAAGGGAAGGGGAAAAAATAGTTACAGCGAGGGAAGCAGGCAAACCATAAGAGACTCTTAAATACAGAGAACAAACTGAGGGTGGATGGGGGGGTGGGGGAAAGGGGAAAGTGGGTGATGGGCATTGAGGAGGGCACTTGGGATGAGCACTGGGTGTTGTATGTAAGCCAATTTGACAATAAATTATATTAAATAAATTTAAAAAAAGAAAAAAAAGAAAAGAAAGCATAGTTCCACTGGATGCCTTGACTTCAGACTTCTGGCCTCCAGAACCATGAAAAATAAATTCCCGTTGTTTTAAGCCACCTCATTTGTGTGTACAGTTGATCCTTAAACAACATGGTTTGAACTGCATAGATCCACTCATAAACAATTTTTATACTACAGTACTATAAATGTATTTTCTCTTCCTTATGACTTTCTTAACATTTTTTTTTCTGTACCTTACTTTAATCATGAGAATATGTATATAACACATATAACAAACTATGTGTTAATCAACTGTTATTGGTTAAGGCTTCCAATCAATCATCAGTAGAATATTTGTAGTTAAGTTTTTAGGGAGTCAAAAGTTTTATGTGGATTTTCGACTGTGCAGGGGTTTGGAGCCTCTAACTCCTGCATTGTTCAAGGATGAACTGTACTTTATTATATTAGCCCTAGAAAATCAATGCATTGGCCAAGGTAGCACCTGAAATCACAGCTCCAAAATGCTTGTCAAATTTCAATTTATGAACTCATCACTAAGAGAATTCCCCTTTTAACACATTTCTGATGACAGTGGGTCATTTTAATTAAAAAATTCTTATGTGGTGGGCGCCTTGGGTGGCTCAGCCGGTTAAGTGTCCAATTTCAGCTCAGGTCATGATCTCATAGTTCTTGGGTTCTAGCCCCACACTGGGCTCTGTGCTGACAGCTCAGAGCTTGGAGCCTGCTTTGGATTCTGTGTCTCCCTCTCTCTCTGCCCCTGACCCACTTGTGCTCTGTCTGTCTTTGCCTTTCCAAAATAAATAAATGTTAAAAAAAAAAAAAAATCTTTTTTTTTTACATTCTTATGTGGTAAAGGTTTCACTTCCTTTTCCTTTTTATTGTTGGATCGACAAAACTTGTTTCAAATATTCTAGATAAAATCTTAAAGATAAAAGTGAATCATTGTATCTTTTCCCAACTTATATGCAAACTTACCTAAGTTTTTCCAAGGCACTTTCCCGTTCAATGCGAAGTTTAGCTAAAGATGTGTTCTCAGCTTTAAATTTTTCTATTTCTGTTTCCAATTCAATTACTTTCTCTCTCAAAACTTGAGATCGAGCACTGTCACCTATAAAATAAGCCATATATATTGAACTTCACAAAAGGTCTTCAGCAGCAGAAACCAGCTAGCTATTAATACTAACAGCCAAATATATGGTAAACATCTGTACTATTAAAATGCACAAGAAACAACGCCTCTGAAAAAAAAAACAAACTATATGAACCTGACTTTCCAGATAAAACCAATCTATATTTAAAAAAAGACATTATTCAACTGAAGAGTAACAATCTACCAATGAATTAACATTACATATAAAAAGAAATCATTCAAATAATTTTTAAAAACCTAATACATATGTTTTTCGTCTTTTTGATAACAGCCAATATTGTAAATAACTGTATGGTGACAGATAGAAACTAGACATATCATGGGATCATTTTATAATGTATAAAAATACTGAATCACTATGATGTATACCTGAAACTAATACTGATGTTGTACATCAATTGTACTTCAATTTAAATATGTATATATGAACATGAGTAAGTAATTCACAAGACATCTAAAGCAAATAATTAACATCAAAATCAAAGTTTACTCCCACTAATCACGGAAATACAAATTAAGATGTTTTTCACATACCAATTTGCTATTTCAAAGAGTAAAAAAGCCAACACTTCTGTTCTTCCACTACCCTTTTGAAAAATTGATTTCCGCACAAAAATATGCATTGCAACATTATTTCTAATAGTGAAAAATAATTTAAGTATCCAACATTAAGGAAATTACTGAATAAAATGATGCTGTATTCACATAGTGTTCTGCAACCATTTTAAACAATTTTTTAATGTTTATTCATTTTTGAGAGAGAGAGCACAAGCAGGGGCAGAGAGAGAGGGAGACACAGAATGTGAAGCAGGCTCCAGGCTTTGAGCTGTAAGCACAGAGTCGACTCAGGGCTTGAACCCACAAACCATGAGATCATGACCTGAGCTGAAGTCAGATGCTTAACCAACTGAGCCACCCAGGCACCCTATGTTCTGCAACCATTTTTAAAATACACAAAAGTGTTTTAAAGAAATGGCCAGTGCATATTATACACCTGGTCAAAGAAGATAAGGTAATTTGTTTCTTTTTTTTTTTTTTTTTAAGTTTATTTATTTTGAGAGAAAGAGACTGGAGCACCGGGGCAGAGAAAGAGAGAGAGAGAATCCCAAGCAGACTCCACACTGTCAGCACAAAGCGCAACGTGGGGCTCAAACTCACAAACTGTGAGATATGACCTGAACCAAAACCAAGAGTCAGACGCTTAACTGACTGTGCCACCCAAGCACCCCAAGAAAGAAAAGCTAAGTTTTTTTTACCTTTTTTTTAAGTTTATTTGAGAGAAAGAGCAGGGCAGCGGGGGCAGAAAGAGAGAGAGGGGGAGAATCCCACAAATCCTGAGAAAAGACCTGAGCTGAAACCAAGAGTCAGATGCTTAACTGACTGAGCTACCCAGGTGCCCCAAAAAAGATAAAGTCAGTTTATTTTTTTATCATTTTTTTAAGTTTATTTATTTGAGAGACAAAGACAGCACGAGTGGGGAGGAGCAGAATGAGAGGCAGAGTGAGAATCCCAAGCAGGCTCCATGCTGCCTGCAGAGGGCCCAACACGAGGTTCAAACTCACAAAACCGCGAGATCACGACCTGAGCCAAAACGAAGACTCCGACGCTTAACCAACTGAGCCACGAGGGCACCCCAACATAAGTTTTAACAAATGTCTGTACCATATTAAAAATACATAGGAAAAATGACTGGAAGGAAAAATTCCAAAATGGTATCACAGCTACCTTTGGATAGTTCAGTTATAAACATTTTTCATTCTATAGTTAAGCTTCCAAACTTTCTGCAAAAAGTACTACTTTTAAAATCAAAGTATTTTTTTAAATAGTTTAAGTTGGGGCATCTGGGTGGCTCAGTCAGTTAAGTGTCCAACTCTTTCTCTTTTTTTTTTTCAGGTTTGTTAATTTTGAGAGAGAAAAAAAAAAGAGCACACGTGTGGGCAGGGGAAGGGCAAAGAGAAGGTGAGACAGAGAATCCCAAGCAAGCTCTGCCCTGTTAGGCCAGAGCCCAATGTGGCGCTCAATTCCACAAACCATGAGAGCATGACCTCAGCGGAGATCAAGAGTCCAACACTTAAATCAACTGAGCCACCTGGGTGCCCCAAACGTCCAACTCTTGATCTTGGCTCGGGTCTCGATCTCCCGGTCATGGGTTCAAGCCTTCTGTTGGGCTTCACACTGGGCAAGAAGCCTACTTACATAGCTTAAGTTATAATTTACATTTTTTTCAATGTTTACTTATTTTTGAGAAATAGAAAGATGGAGTGCAAGAAGGAGAGGTGCAGAGAGAGAGGGAGACACAGAATGTGAAGCAGGCTCCAGGCTCCCAGCTGTCAGCACAGAGGCAATGCGGAGCTTGAACTCACAGATGGTGAGATCATGATCTGAGCCAAAGTCGGATACTCAACCGACTGAGCCACTCAGGCACCCCTACAATTTAAAGCACCTGTGCTTTGGTAGGCATTCACAGTTTACTACATGATATGATGGAAAGGAGTTTTCCATATAAGTTTTAGAAGTCCATCGCATCAACTATACAACCATTAAATGGAACGTGGCAGATGTATAAGCGGGAAAAAACAATCTCCAAAATTTATTATAAGGTGAAGAATGGCTTATAAAAAACGTGTTTTCAAAGTGCGTGGATTGCTCAGTCAGTTAAGTGTCCAACTTTGGCTCAGGTCATGATCTCACAGCTCCAGGGTTCCAGCCCCACATCAGGCTCTGTGCTGACAGCTCAAAGCCTGGAGCCTGCTTGGGATTCTGTCTCCAGTCTCTCTGTCCCTCCCCTGCTCACACCCTCTCTCTCTCAAAAACTGAATAAATATTAAAAAAAAATTCTTAAGTGTTTTCATTTGTGTAGAAAGAAGATTACATACCCACTCCACATATGCTTTCATATGCACAGAATCTTTTTAGAAGATACAAATGAAATGGGAATATAAGTTCCTCTAGGAAAAGGAATAGGAACCCAAATATAGGGAAGAAAGGAAACTTCAATTTTACTGTATTTCTTCTTGGTCCTATCTAGCAAGTTAGCGCATGAGTAGTAAAAAAAATAAAAATAAAAAAATAAGTAAATACGTAGTCATTTTAAAAAGTGCACACACAAAGGTTCACCTCATAGTGACACAAACCACAAATTGGATACTCTAGTTACAAAAGAAACTTAAGTTACCTCAATTCATAATGAAGCAATTAATGTTATAGCCTTGAGAATAAGACGTAGGCTTAAATTAGAAAATCTGAAATCAGAATGCATCCATATCTTTTGTACTAGCGGCCATTACATTATTTAGACCCACAAAACAAATGAAATTTTAACAATCACCTACTTAGACTTCTACTGAGCAACTAGAACGATTAGGATTTTAAGTGTTCTGATAAGATACCCCTACTGATAAGATAAATGTTAAATTTATAACATTCTGATACCTATTTTATAATGCTGACTTACCAGGTGGTTGGTCTTGACTTGGGTTTAACTTGGGTTCACTTCCCAAGTGTGAATCTGATTTGGGTTTCAGTTTCAAAGCAGGAAAGAATTTCATCATGAGATCTGACGTAGGAGGAGGGCTTGTGCTCCTACTGGATTTCCTCAAGTCTTCTCCCTTCTTGACTGGTGCGACCTTCCTTTTTATTGCTTTGTCTGGTACACATATTTCACTCTTATTAGGGTAGGCTGTCTGAGGAGTCCCATTAGTGACCTCTGTCCCAAGAACAGCATCATGTTTAAATGAATTCTCTTCAAGGTCAGTCCAAGTTCTTTCATCGTCAAAGTCAATTTTACTCATACTTACAGATGAGGGTCTTCTTGAGGACTCAGAAACTTTGTTTTTCAAGCTTTCTATTATGACAGACTCATCACTACTGTAATCTTTATCGGACAAATCTAAATCAACATCTCTCCTTTGATCTTCTTGCATCCCAGTGTCCCTAAAAGGCCCCTTACCATCACAGACCTGTGGACGGTCTTCTCTGCTGCTGAAACCCCTCTCTTTATCGTCAGTTGATGGTTTTATGGTAACATCAAGTTGTTCCTCAGAGTCGGTGCTACTGTCACTGTCCATGGCACCTTCGTCATCACCTACATTCCACCGAGTCTGATTTTCAGAAGTGCTAGTTTGGAATGCTTTCCTACTGACTTTACAAGACTGTTCCCTATGTGCTTCAGGTGAGGACACTGAATCAGTCTGTTTGGGTGCGACCTCGCACTCACACACATTATCAGGTTCAGGACAGTCTGGAGCCTCATTGTGGTTACACTGAAGAATGGGATCCAGTGTCACCATCTTCTCCTGCTGTACGGCTTTGACAGGGGTGGAAGACAGCCGGTGCCCTTTGCAGACCTGCTGGTCCCTCTCTAAGATTTTCAGTACAAATGAAGAATTACTGGAAAATGATATTTCATCAGCAGCTTGCTCCAAAAACAAAAATTCATCTAACTCCAAATTTTCCTTTTCCTTTTCTCGTTCCCACTTTTCTAACTTTTTCTGAAGAGAAATGTCTAGAGAAGATTCTGACTTATTCAAGGTCTCATTTATTGGGCTCTTAGAAGCCATGCAGCTGACCAGCCCTGCTGAAAGAGGAAGTCTGTCTCTACCTGGTGTCTTATTCCAGACTTTGCAACCAACATCACAAGGTTTTGCACACTCGGGCATTTCTCTACTATTAGATTCAACTTTTTTTTCTAATTTGATCTGGTCTCTAAATTGCCCATCACATTTCTTCCCTGCCAGTATTTTCAATCCTGATGGAGAAAGACTTTTCCTGTTGTTACCCTTAAGCACTTTTGGCTTCTGACTAAGTGTGACAAAACCACTGCTGGCCCTAGCTTTATTGTTCTTTTTAACAGGAGGGTTCTCTGTACACAGTTCTTTGTTTATTAGAGCAGTTTTCCGCTGGAATTGCTGTCTATCCATTTTAAACACAGGCTGGTCCTCTGAAATGCTCTGATTAGGCACTAGTTTACTTTCTCTCCCTTTCTGAGACTTAGATTTAGCATTAGTAAATCTAGCTAAACCTTCTCCTCGTTTCAAGAATGGTTGTTTTGGCTTTGCTTTGATTGGCAATGATCCTTCTGCTTCCTAAAATAAAGAATATTTGAATTAATTCTGGTATATCCAAGTTATCTCAATGTTCTTTTTAAAGCAAATTATAAATAAATCTCTAAAGCCTCATCTAACTTAATCAAGATAGTGGCGATGCCTACCCTTAGTTGTTTTCGTTTCAGTTCTTGTTCTTCCAGTCGAATTTGTTCTTCTAAGTAGTCTTCAAATGTCTGTTTCCTCTCTCTGATAGCAACTTTAATAGGCCTAATCATAAAAATAAAGTTATTTAGCATGCAAGTCAAGATGTGGTGAATATCTGCCTCAGTGTGCCTGACAGAGATACCTCTGATTACACTAAGAACTAACCGTTTTCAAAGTCACAGACCCCGTATGAGAATCCAAAGAAAGCTATAATCCTACCCCATCTCCCAAAATACAGAAAAATACAACACTCTACACGATTGGGAAAAAAAAAAAAAAAAACCTTCTGAAGTTCATTTTTTGCCTATAGATTACATAACTTTAAAATATACTTTGAGGAGCGCCTGGGTGGCTCAGTCATTGAGCATCCAACTTCAGCTCAGGTCATGATCCCATGGTTCGTGAGTTTGAGCCCTGCGTCGGGTTCTATGTTGACAGCTCAGAGCCTGGAGCCTGCTTTGGATTCTGTATCTCTCTCTGCCCTCCCCCACTCACAGTCTGTCTCTCAAAAATGCATTAAAAATTTCATTAAAAAAATAAATAACTAAGAATAAAATATATTTTGAAAATACTTCATCAAATAAGCACTTTAAGAAAGATCCTTGACAGGGGCGTCTGGGTGCCTCAGTTGGTTAAGTGCCAACTTCAGCTCAGGTAATGATCTCACAGCTTGTGAGTTCAAGCCCTGCGTCAGGCTCTGTGCTGACAGCTCAGAGCCTGAAGCCTGCTTCGGATTCTGTCTCCCTCTCTCTGCCCTTCCCCTGTTCACACTCTGTCTCTTAAAAATAAATAAACGTTAAAAAAAATTTAAAAACAAGATCCTTGACAATGTAATAGAGCAATAATCAGAAGTAATTTGCCCATCCATAACATCTATTAAAATATGTCAAGTATTTAAGAAAATAAGAAACAATCTCAATATTGATAGTTTATATTTGTCATAAGATTTTTAAATTCTGTAACTAAGCTTACCCAATTATAATTTATAAGTGACACCAAATGTGAGACTCAATATTAATTTGTTTTTGTCTTTGCCAAAATAGGATTTACCTATTTGAGAGAAGATTAATTTTATCCAGATTTCTTCTCTTTGGTGAAAAAAGTTTGCTCAATTCTTCCAAAACAATGCAAAGCTATCTGAACTGACAGGTCTCCCCGACCACTGTCTGTTGCTGACAATATGTGGTAAGTTGTAACTTCAACATTATACTTAAAAGCATATTCAAGCAAAAACAAGAAAACCATGGGTCTTTTTTAAAAAGAAAGTGCTCTACCATAATAGCTGGCTATTACATTAAACTGTCACACTTCTTATTCCTTTCAATATGGATGATACCTTTCTTCAATATTAGCCACTTCTGAAGAATCACCAATTTTTTTTACATTCACATCTTTCCCTTCCTGAATAGGTTCGGCCACTTTCTCCCAACATGGTGAAACACCTTCTCCTAGGATAAAAATTAGGAACAATTTAGTTCCAAAAAATAAAGAATAACATCTTAAAACCTGAGAATTTTACAAGTTACTATGCTAAAGTAATATTTATCAAAAGTAATATATGCCAAAGATTTTAGAACCCTCAAGGATTTCTTTATTATGACTTCTTTATATGACTTTTTAATATGATTTCTTTAAAAAATTTTTTTTTCAACGTTTATTTAGTTTTGGGACAGAGAGAGACAGAGCATGAACGGGGAAGGGGCAGAGAGAGAGGGAGACACAGAATCGGAAACAGGCTCCAGGCTCTGAGCCATCAGCCCAGAGCCTGACGCGGGGCTCGAACTGCCGGACCGCGAGATCGTGACCTGGCTGAAGTCGGACGCTCAACCGACTGCGCCACCCAGGCGCCCCTAATATGATTTCTTTAATAGGAGATAAACTACAAAACCCTATTTAAAACATGACACTGTTCACAAGGTAAATATTATGGGCTTTTCTAAATTAAAAAAGACTAGGATCACCTGAGTGGCTCAGTCGGTTAAGCATCAGGCTCTTGATTTCGGCTCAGGTCAAGAATTCATGGTTTGTGGGGATCAAGCCCCACTTCCAGCTCCACACTGACAGCATGGAGCCTGTTTGGGGTTCTCTCTCTCCCTTTCCTGCGCAGGCGCTCACTCTCTCTCTCAAAATAAATAAATAAATTTTTAAAAAATTAATTCATTAAAAAAGACTAAAAAGAGAGCTGTAACAACTGAATGTAACAGATGAACTTGACTGTTCCTGGTTTTTTTAAAAAAACACATATTTGGGACAATACGAGGAATTCTAAAATGAATTTAAATATTAAGGAATAGTATTAGAGAATACTATCTATACAGAAGAATATCATAATTTTTACTTGATGTGTGCTGACATATTTGAAGTGATGTAACATAATGCCTGCATATTACTTGCAATGAAATGACTGAGCAAGTTACATTTAAATGTAGGCAGAAATACAGATGTATAGATATACATACACACATAGAAAAATATGTAGACAAAGTAAATACAGCAAAATATTAACTGCTGAATCAAGGTCTATTATTAATCATTGCAGTAGTCTTTCAACTTTTCTGGATGTTTGAAATTTTCCAAAATAAAAAGGTAAGAGAGTATACTGCTTAAAAAATTTTTTAAAGGCATGTGACCTTTCCATATTCTAAATCAGAAATAAAATATTATGCACAAAGGTGCCCAATCCTAACTAGTAAGGGTAGACACCTTTTGTCATATTTTCTGCACTTTTTTAGAACTTTCTCCAAAGAACATATTCATGAAAACACCATCAAAATTGAAAATAAAATTCAAATTAAAAATACTGGAAACAACTCAGCCCTACTGCAAAGAACATTAAATACTGATATATTATTTGATGACCAGCATGATGACAACCATTAAAATTATGGTTATGAAACTATGAAATTTACCATTATGTTTGAGTAGGAAAAGAACACATTATTTTCCATCTTGGCTGGGAAAAGAACACAATTATACAATATTTTACAGTTGCGAAATGTAAAAAAAAAAAAAAAAGTGGAAGGGGGAATGGGGCACAGAAACAGCATTTAAAAAAAGGAAAAAAAAGACCAGAAGAAACTACACCAGAAATGCCACAAGACCTCCATGAGTTTAGACCATCAGATGCTGCCAGTGCACTGGCAAAAACATGTTGAGCGCGAGGAATACAGAGGTACAGTGAGGGCAAACCGAGTGTCTGGGAGTGGACGGAATTTCTCTTCTGAATAATAACTGCCACCACCAACCTATTTCTCACATTTCCCATCTTCGATCATGTGCCCCTCCACTACCACACATACTACATAACCTCAAACTATTTCTAAGCTCTCAGAGAAAAATAGTACATACAGAACCCACCATCCCCCTTTTTGAAGACCCCATGCTACCTTGAGAGGTTTGAAATCAGCATGAGTATTGCGATTGTTCTCAGAAAGTCACAAAATTCTGTGTCCAGTTCTGTGTCCAATCCAGGCTCAATGGTTACGCAACATGTAGGGGCTCATAATTAAAGCCACAGGCACGGGAGACAGGGGAAAAAAATGCAGAAAGGACTTTTCTTGTCTTAGCACAGCTTGGTAACACTGCTAGCTAAGTACAAAAGAGAGAAATAGAAGTAACTCACCTATAGGATAGTCATGGTTTTCTTCCTTCAAATCATTGTTTTTCACAAGTGCTTCTTGATATTGTGCCTCACAAAACAAAGTGAGAGGAGCACCAGTTTTTGCAGTTAAGACAAAATCTGGATGAGTAGTTCTACAGAAGTTGTTTTGTTCATCAGATAAAATGTTGGAAGTGTGTGTTTTTTCTTGGGTTTGATTCTGGTAGACATGTGACGGTAGGAAGGGCGAGGTTTTCTCTACAGTGGTTGAATTTCCTGGAGATCTATACTTCTGGCTCTGACCATCAGGCAGTAGGGTTAAACCTTGCAATTAAAAAAAAATAGTTGAAAAAGAAAAAAAAATTATCAAAACTAATGACTTCCTAGAACATTTTCGCTTCTACCTGTTAGTGATCCCTACCTACCAGGTTTTCTCCAAAGTGATAAAAGTATTTTTTCCTCCTTATATTAGGAAACTCTATTTAACAAAATGATGAAATTTAGAAGTCCAAAATGACCGCTGCATAATTTGAATCAAGGGTATGTTTATACGACAATTGATGTGCAGTGTAGACCTGGCACAGCTGCAACACAGCCTGCTTCTGGAAGGCACCATTCATCTTCCATCTGTGAGCACTGCTGGAATTCTCAACTCTGCAGCCCCACAACAAACACAGAGAGCACCAATGCCAATAGCTGTAAATGATCTGAAGAGTTCCCTAAAGACAAATAAGCTCCCTAAAGACATCCGGGGTGCCTGCGTGGCTCAGTTGGTTGAGCATCCACCTTTGGCCCAGGTCATGATCTCATGAATTCAAGCCCCACATCAGGCTCCGTGCTGACAGCTCAGAGCCTGGAGCCTGCTTCAGATTCTGTGTCTCCCTCTCTCTCTATCCCTCCCCTGCTTGGACTCTGTGTCTCTCCCTCAAAAAAAAGTAAAAAACATTGAAAAAATGTAAAATGTTAAAAAAAAAAAAATGGGGCACCAGTTGCTGCGTAGTGGGGGCATGTGACTTTTTTGTCCTTAGGTTGTGAATTTGAGCCCCAAGTTGGGTGTAGAGATTACTTAAAAATAAAATCTTAAAAAAAAAAAAAAAAAAAAACCCAGAAGGGGCACCCAAGTAGCTCAGTCAGCTGAGCATCCAACTCTTGATTTCAGCTCAGGTCAGGATTTCAGGGTTTGTGCATTCCAGCCCCAAGTTGGGCTCTGTGCTGACCACATGGAGCCTGCTTGGGATTCTCTCTCGCTCTCTCTATCCCTCCCCTGCTCACACATTCTCTCTTTCTCCCTCTCTCTCAAAATAAGTATTTAAAAATATATAAATCGAAGAAGAGAAGACACAATGTGAAGGGTTTTATAAGAGCCATGCCACCCATCTCTCAAACCCTCTGCCTCATCCCAGATCACAAATAAAACTGGAAATGAGGTAGGTCTTCATAGACTATCAGGCTCAAACTTCTTTCTTTTATAGAACAATACTCTCTCCATCCAAAGATTTTTTTTAAGTTTATTTATTTTGAGAAAGAGAGCATGAGTTGGGGAGGGGCAGAGAGAAAGGAAGAGAGAGAGAATCCTAAGTAGGCTCTGCGCTGTCAGTGGAGAGACCAATGCGGGGCTTGAACCCATAAACCATGAGATCATGACCTGAGCCAAAATCGAAAGCCAGACTCAAATGACTGAGCCACCCAGCATCCCCAAATGTTTTTGACTTACAGTCACCTCACTTCAGACTGAAGATGTCTTTGATAAAAGTGCAATACCCCAAAGAAGCAGTTCTCAAAGTGTGGTCTTTAAACCCCTGAAGGTCTCTAAGATTCTTTCAGTGCATCCACAAAGTCAAATCTGTTTTCATAAGATATTAAGATAGTATTTGTCTTTTTCACTTCATGCACTAATGGTGCAAGAGCAAAACAGAAACTCGTGGTACCTTCACTGAAAAGCAGGACAGCAAAACAGTGGCACCAAACTGTGCTAGCAGTCACTGTATTAGTCACCACAAAAAACAAACAAACAAACAAAAAACAGGAGCGCCTGGGTAGCTGAGTCAGTTGAGCGTCTGACTCTTGATTTTGGCTCAGGCCATAATCCCAGGGTCGTGGGATCGAGCCCCACATCAGGCTCCATGCTGGGTGTAGAGCCTGCTTAGGATTCTCTCTCTCCCTCTGTCCATCTCCCCTGCTGGTGCTCTCTCTCTCCCGCGCGCTCTCTCTCTCTCTCTCTCTCCCTAAAAACAAACAAACAGTTTTATTTAAGAATGTCCTAGATAGGGGCGCCTGGGTGGTTCAGCTGGTTGAGTATCCAACTCTTGGTTTGGCTCAGGTCAAGATCTCACGGTTGTGCTCCATGCTGAATGTGGAGCCTGCTTGGGATCCTGTCCCTCCTCAGCGCACTCTCTCTCTCAAAAAAATAAAATAAAAAGGTCCTAAAGTTGCAAGAATTATTAATTTTTAAGCTGAATTTGAACTGTTGAGTTCAAGTGTCATTTCAACATTCTATAGGACAAAACAAAAAGCGTGCATAAATCACTTCTACTGCAAACCAAGACATAGCTTGGTTTGAGATGTAAGCTTGACTAGGCACTTCTCTCAAAGAACATCATTTTTACTTGAAAGAATAAATGACAAAACTATGATGATTTAAACCTTCGTACTTGGCAGACAGTTTCTCAAAAATTAAACAAGCGAGCCAGTCACTTCAAAAAAAATGACTACAGTATTTAATAGTAAAACTTGAAGTCTCTAGTAAAAATTAGAATTTATTAAACAAACCTACCACCATGAGCTTGACAGCTTCATAACACTTCAAGACTTAAAAAAAAAAAAAAAAGACTTAAAAAAATTTTTTTAATGTTTATTTTTGAGAGAGAGAGGGAGAGCACAAGTTGGGCAGGGGCAGAGGGAGAGACAGAGGGAGACAGAGGATCCCAAGCACCTCAGCGCTGACAGCAGAGAGCCCCATGCAGGCACTGACTCAAGAACTGGGAGACTATGACCTGAGCCTAAGTCAGACACTCAACCAACTGAGCGACCCAGGCAGCACCCTGTTACTTCAAGACTTTTACGATGAGCTCTGTAGTGGTATTAATGGATATAATTTTTTGATATTATATGATAAAATACACTTAAGTATATTTTAAAGACCTACATAACTCAGTGAACCACTACCTTGCAAACAACCAATGCACAATTTTACTAAATCATGCATGATAAAAGAGCCATTCAAAATGCCAAGATATTCCAATATATTTCATGTAATAGAGTATAAAAAAGTTCATTAATATAGTTTCAGACTCCATACTTTGAATTATCACTAAGAAACGGCCAATTGTTAGGTTTGGGTGCAATATCAAAGAAATAACTACAATTATTTGAAAAGGCTATTACAGTACTCTTCTTTCCCTCTTCCAAGTAAACATCCATGTGAGGCCGAATTTTTTTTCACATGCTTCAATCAAAACAACATAACTTAAGAGAATGAATGCAGAAGCAGATAGGACAATCAGCTGAGCTCTTTTAAACCAGAAGTTAAAAGAGATGTTCAAAAATATAAAACTATGCCATTCTTCTAATTTTTTAGAAAAACCTCTTAAGTTACTTATGATAACATGTAACTGCTTTTTATTTTAATGAATTAGTTTTTTAATTTCTCCAATTTAATTTCTGATAGTTAAATATCAACAGCCATAGCCCATAGAACAAATACTCTGGAGTCCTCATTAATTTAAGAGTATTCAGTGGTCCTGAGACCAAACAGTGTTAAAAATCACTGTCCTAAAAGCAATGTGCCATAATTGAAAGGCGCTAGCTTTTATATCAACAATGTTGAAACTGCTTCCTTATTGCTCTACCGTAGTGCTATTTCTACCTTAAAAAGTATCACAGGCTGTTTTTGAAATGATCTGGATTATCCTCTTATGTATTCCATAAAGAAACCCTGACCCATTCAACTATTTCAAGACACACACCATGTTCTCTACATTTACTAAGATAAACGTCCTAATCCCTAAACCACTCTTCATTTGATACATTTCTCATCACTACCACTACTACTATTCCCTGAATTCCATCCAGCTACTTTGCACATTCATCTGCCAATGTCTTTTATTCTTCGTATTCTCAATGCCCAGTGCAACCTCTGAACAGAACAGGCACTTTTGTGAATCAGCACTGTGTCTCTGGGAAGGTGCCATCAAGAAGCAAACACATGTTCCAGATCACTATTTCTCAAACTAAGGGATACAATCCATTAGTAATTTTATGATCAGAATCATGACTGGTACTTTTTTCAATGAATGAGATTAGGACAAAATAAATAGAAAACATCCTTACAACATGCCAGGCACACCAATAAAGACTGATTTATGAAATTTCTTTGAAATTGTGAGTCACGATTTTAAATGTTTTTGTTATAATGTGGTATGGTGAAACATCTCTCAAAACCACTGCTAGAGATCAAATTTACACAGGTTTACAGTCCCCTGATAAGCATATCACGTTTTCTGTTAATTGATCTAGTATACAACAAAAGATGTGTCATCTGCCACCATAGAAAATATTTTTGGTATGGTTCCTCTGCTAACCAGAGTAGCCTCTACACATATTTTACCATTATGACCCTGAGGAGTTTTTCATTCTTTTTTTTTTTTTGAGAGAAAGAATCCCAAGTAGGCTCTGCTTTATCAATACAGAGCCTAATGCAGGGCTCGATCCCACAAACCACAAGATCATGACCTGAGCGGAGACAAGAGCCAGACACTTAACTGACTGAGCCACCCAGACACCCTACGGAGTTTTTCATTCTTCAGGCAGGGGTTGTAAGCCAGTAGCCCTAGGCCAAATTTGGCTCTACATCTTTTATTCTGCTAGGTCTTTTTAAAATTTTATAGGGACGCCTGGGTGGCTCAATCGATTAAGCATCTGACTTTGGCTCAGGTCACCATTTCACAGTTTCTGAGTTCGAGCCCAACACAGGGCTCTCTGATGTCAGCACAGAACCCACTTTGGATCCTCTGTCCCTCTCTCTCTCTGCCTTTCCCCCTCTCCCCACTCATCTGCTCTCTCACTCCCTCTCTCTAAAATAAATAAACATTAAAAAAAATCTTTAGGGGCACCTGGGTGGCTCAGTCAGTTAAGCGTCCGACTTCAGGCTCAGGTCATGATTTCACGGTTCATGGGTTCAAACTCCGTGTCGGGCTCTGTGCTGACAACTCAGAGCCTGGAGCCTGCTTTGGATTCTGTGTCTCCCTCTCTCTCTGCCCCTCCCTCTCTCTCTCTGCCCCTCCCTCGCTCATGCTCTGTCTCTCAAAAATAAGTAAATGTTAAAAAAAAATTAAAAATCTTCAAACTTTCATTTTATATATGTATTTTTTTCAACGTTTTTATTTATTTTTGGGACAGAGAGAGACAGAGCATGAACGGGCGAGGGGCAGAGAGAGAGGGAGACACAGAATCGGAAACAGGCTCCAGGCTCTGAGCCATCAGCCCAGAGCCCGACGCGGGGCTCGAACTCACGGACCGTGAGGTCGTGACCTGGTTGAAGTCGGACGCTTAACCGACTGCGCCACCCAGGCGCCCCTCATTTTATAAATAAATATGACTGCCGTTAAGCAGGGCACACATGCTCCAGAATGGCCCAGCTCCCACCTGTCCCAATCATATACCACCACCACCATTTCATAGTTATCTGCAAGGCCCCTAAAGAAACTGGGGTTCACCACATATGAGAGAGTAATGGTAGAAAAAACCTGTCAAACAACTAAAGGTGAGAAATGTCACTGTTCACTGTTGAGCTGACTGAAGGCTCTGTGTAAGCACAAAGTACCTTGGAGTGGTTGGTGCCCAGACACAGTAGTGAGCAGCTTCTCTTGTTCTTCCAGAAGTCTCTGTAGTTGCTCGAAATGCTGCCTCCTCAGCTGTTCCTGCTTCTTCTGTTGTACTTCTTTCAGCTTTTTAAACATAAAACTTGATTAAACTAACTTTACATTTCTTTAGGGATCTTTGCTCCTTACATTTATCTTAACCCCTCTCATCTCCCTTTTCGTATCATCTCTAATACAGAGTTTCAAAGAGTGATCCCTAAGTAACTACACCTGCCACCCAAACTCTAAAATCCTATTTTTTATGAAGGAAACATAGAAACAGAAAAAGTCATTTGAATATGTAGATTCTTACAATACAATAGGTATCAGTACATTTATGATCAACTTTTCCCCTTTAATATCTAATCAGCCATTTCCAATTCAGTTTTTACCAAACGAAGCAGAAACTTAAAAGACATTGTTATCTCGAGTGTTGTATGTTACATATCAAACCTGTGCTAATGTTTCACATTAGATAAAAGGCAAAATTTGGTATTTTGAGGATTTCCCAGGAAAGGGGAAGAAAACTTTTCATCAACAGAAACTTGCAATAATGCAAATACATTAGGCCAAATTCTGTTGTACCTGTTCAAGCTTTTTAAAAAGTGGGTCTTTATAAGGCACTTCTTTGCATTCACTTGAAAGATCTGAGACAATGTCATTTTTGTTTTCTTCCCAGTGTCCAGGAGCACCCTGACATGCCACTATTTGTGGTTCCTCTTTAGTTAAAGGAAACACTGCATGTGTTTCAGACTTATTTGATTGTAGTTTATAAGGGCTGTTAGAGTCCAACTTCTGTTCTTCATGAAGTGAATCTTCTTCACTTATAAAGGTGAAGCTATCTGAAAAATGCGTGGCTTTAACAGGAAAGCTGGTAGAAATGTTCACACTTGCTCGCTGCTCTTCGTCTGCTTCCAAAATAGGAAATCCACGATTTAATATGACCCCAGCCCGAGAAGGATTGGTCATCCACTGGGTTAGGAAGCTCTGCCCACTGTTTAACTCTGAAGAGGCTGGCATCACGAACATTTTAGTCCAACGACACTATTATATTTAAATAATATACAAGCTGGAACTGCTATTAATTTCCAATGCCTGTAGAAAGAAGATGCCAACAAAAAACATCGGTTAAAGCTGTTCTACCCAAACCGCAAACCAGCACAAAAATCTACTGGATATTTCAAATTCAAAAGACTTAATCAGCAAAGCAACTGGGCAAGAAGTTACGTGGTTTTGTTTTTTTTTTTTTAAGTCTTAAAAATATCCAAATTGAGTGAATCAAAAACCTAAGTTCCTTGCTGACAGAATCAGCATATAGATGTTATTTAAGGCCTTGACACTGGGCGAGATCACTAAGTGACTGAGGGTACAAAAAAGAGAAAATGTAGAAAGTAGTGTCCTGGAGACCAAGTGAAAAAAGTGTTTCAAGGAAGAAAGAGACGTGTTAAATGCTGTTAACAGACGAAGGGTGAGAACTGAGAACTGATCTTGGAATTGAGCAACGTAAAGGTCATGATAACTTCAATGAGAGCAGCTGGAAGGGAGAGGGACGCTGCCAAAGCTTAAATGGAGGAAATACATGAAAGAATGAGAAATTAAGGACAGCTAACTCTTCCCAGGAGTTCTGTTATAAAGGGAAGGAAATAAATGGAACGGTGGCTGTACAGGGAAGCATGGTGAAGAATGATTTTTTAAGACAGGAGAAATAAAAGCAGGTCTGTAGGCTAATGAGGATGGACAGAGGAGAGAATTAGTATAGCCATATCTCTGAAGTGAGGGGTGAGAAAATCTAGTACCAAAGCGAAATGACGTTTCACATTATTTTTCAGACACAATTCTAGATTTTAACTTTATCAATATAATACAAAAGGAAATGAAAAATGGCAATTTGGAGGCATACATGTATTTATTTAGCTTTGTACCTAGTGTCTGGGAAAAAAAGATACAAGCAGAAAAAGAAATATAGACACACAAACATTACAATATGCTCATACTCAAGTGGAACAGAAATTAAAACAGTAATGACATACCAGTTTTCACATACCAGGTTGGCAAAAACTAAAAAACTGATAAACCCCAGTGTGGAAAAGAAATCTTCCATAAAGCGTCATTTGGGAATGTAAACTGGTAAAACCTTTTGAAGGGCAATTTGACACTATCTACCCAAATCGTAAACGCACAGAAACTCTGACTTAGCAATTTCACATCTAGGCATTGTGTGCTATATTGGCACAAGTTCACGTTTGTAACAAACCGAGATTAACTTAAATGTCTATCAAGAGGGGACCGACTAATTATGGCTTTTATATTATGCAACTGAACAGAACAAGCGAGGCCAGGTACTGACTGATATGGCCGTCTTGGAATATCCAAGACACATTGTTAAGTTGACAAAGGCAAAGTGCAGAGCAGTGTGCAAGAGATAAAGACAGGAAAGCAAGGTTACCTGGACCTGTGCTGCCCATTCTGGTAGCCACTATTTGGCACTTGAAAGTACTCAATATGACTGACAAACTGAAAGACAGATGGTGTCACTTTATCAAAACCGGATTTAATGGAATTTTAAATCAAGTGACTGTTTCCCTTGTTGCTTTACTGCCCTCAGCGACCTACGCTGAAAATACTTGTCCTCCATCTTCTGAAGCACAATCCTGAAACAGCGTCATGAGTCGAGTTGTTATAACTCCTCAGTGCATTAGGTACAAATGCTGTGAATCACCAGTGTGTACAACTGTCCAAATAGAAGACAAAACAACTGCTCGCAAACTACTCAATAAGCAAAGACCAAAGTGGCGGTGTGATTTTTACCACTTTTGAGAACCACAGCTACTGAAACATTAAAAAAAGAGAGAGAGAAAGAAAAAAAGGAACTGTTGCTACAGACAACACAGATGAGTAATGTTGAGTCCAACTCTCAACAAATTCACACCTGTATGTTCCCATTTAATATGAAGTTCAAGAACAGGCAAAATAAATGTATAGGTACAGAAGTCAGACTCATGGTTATCTAGGAAGCTGGGGGTTGGCATCATTGACTGAGAAGCGGCTTCTGCCTTTGGGGACGATAGGGAGTCTTATCATCTTTAACTAGGGGGGATTACTCTGGTGTATACATTTGGGTAGTACATTTAAGATTAGGGAAGATTGCTTAATATCTGCTATTCCTGAATAATTCTTGAAAATCTGTTCTAAGCGAAGTAATTCTAATTATTTTTGAGATGACGCCTTTTGAAAAAGGACCAACATTTCATCAAAACCAGCCAGGTAATCTTTGTTAAACTGAAGTGACTTTAGCAGGAAACTTCTGAAATCCGAATTTAGAAACACAAGCTACAAGGTTATTCTGTAACATTGAAAACTAGAGAAGTTCCCTACTAGACTGACAAGTCCAAGTCCCCTTGTGCTGCAGCATTCAAGGCATCTGCGTCTTCCCACACTTAACACCTCTGTTCCTTCATTTCAACTTCATGACTATGATCTTCAAAGTATATTTACTGTCAGCATGAATAAAAATAGTTTCACTTCATCTGCTATTTATTGCTGGGAAGGCCTTGCTAAAGGGAACATATATATGTCTACAAAGGGTTAGTATGTGGACTAGGATTTTCTAGACATTAACATCTGTTTGAAACAAATGGACAGCCTTGCAACCTCCAAAGACTGCTATGTAAACGTTAAAGCAGTCTGGGGGGATACATTTTCTGCATTCTGAGGGGAAAAGTGGATACAAACAGTTAACTCAAAGCCATCCTCAGACCGTATAACTAGTTGGTTAGGGAGGTGATTTAACAGTCTCCCAAATACAAGTCCTTGAACGCCACGAATGCACAGCAAAGCTTTGAAAGACAAGGACGACTAGGGTGATGACGGGCCTACGTAAGGACAGAAAGCAAACCAACTTTACACTTTCTCGAACCCACTGCGTCCCCCGCGCCTCTGAACAGCTGTTTGAAGTAAAGCCCAAACCACAGGCGGTGAGAGTCCCTGAAAAGAAGGCTCCCCACAAAAACAGCGTTAAGCTGGGACGGCCACAGAAGTGTTGGCCACCGTCGCACGGCCGGCGAGCGTCCCGCTCGCTTGGCGCCCAGCTGAGCCAGCGCTGAGGCCAGAGCAGATCCCTCCCACGCACCGCCAGCACTCTTAGGCGCAGGGCGACAAACACACTAGCTCCCCCGCTCCTCTGCCCACACATTACCGCTCCGCAGTCCTCTGGCCTCTCAGTCCACTCAAACCACAGGGAAAATCGCCACCGCATTTATGAATGAGCCGCCACAACCAGCACCTCCGGCCGGAGCCCCGCCCCCAGGCCCGGCTCCGCCCCTGATCCGAGGGCTCCTGGGAAATGTAGTTTCCACCGGCCCCCTCGGCGCTTGCGCGGGGGCACCGGAGAAACCCATGTAAACTACCACTCCCGGCGGTCTCTCAGGGACGGACGTTACCTAGGGTCTCACCGGAAGGCGCCTTCCGCCTGGGCCGCGGGGCTAGCGGCTGGAGTAGGCGGGCGGCTGGGCGGGAGGGAAAAAAAAAAAAACCGTTCTTAAAGAGAACTTCCGGGACAGAGCTAGCCCGCCCCCAACCCCAGTCCAGCCTTGGAAACTAGGGATAGCGCCTTAACGAGAAGTCGATCGCCGTGTTCAGAGAAAAGCTGGGAACCTAGAGATTCAGAGCTAACAACCTACAGACCAGTGCTTTTCGAGGTGATGGGCGCGGGGGAGGTGCTTTTTGTTTAACGTCCGTCTATTTTGTTTTCCGATTTGGCTGGGTGTGACAGTGCTCACAAGGCACTCACCAGACCAAGGTAAACGGGTGAGAATTCACTCCAAAAATAGTCATCACTCATCATTTCTCGTACAGCTAATACATGGTTTGGCTGTGCGTGGCCATAGATGTTAAAACTCTTTATTTTAAACACTGAAAGTGCAAAATTCAGAAAATGTTTTCCTTATTGCCACCACAGAGGGTTGTGTAGGTAGAGAACAATGCGGTGCAACTTACCGTAGCCTACACTACCTGGGCTTCAGGTCTGTTTAATTAAACACCAGTAAGCCAAGTGAAATTTGTAAAAAAAAAAAAAAAAAAAAAAAAAAGTCGAAGTGCCATTTATAACAACCAGTGTAATCACTGAAATAAACTACCACTGGTTAAAGATAATTAAAAAAACACTTTCGCAGAAATTTGCCCCCCAAAATTGTTTTGCTTCCACCCTCAAAAATAGACTTTCCCTAAAGCAAGGTTTTGGATTTGCTTTTTTTCTTTTTTTCATTATGGATGAAACCAAATCCCAAGACTTCCAAGATCACAAAACTATTTAAGATGCCTTGTGAGGATCCAAACTCTCATCTTCATTTATAACAGTCCTTTGGCTTGAAAAAGCATGCCCAAACGTTCGTTATTTCTCTTAAAATGTTGTGTGTCTTTTAAGATAGTCACAATATCCTCTAATTTTGTGCCTGTATTTTATTGCTATATTTTTATTCCAATGTGGTATGTAGTATCATATTGCTTGTTGGTTGAATAAAAATAAGACTGTTACCACACTAAAGTCTTAATCGGTTGTTAAATTAAGGTTCTAATACCTAAATGTTCATCTATAGCCCAGGCAATTCTCAAAACTGCCCACTAAGCGTGAAGTGTCCTCAGAATCCATCACAAGGTGGGAGGGGTAGAGGGGAGAAACTTCCAACTTCTATTGTGCCACACAGTGAAAGATTCACCCTCATCAGCTATCTTGTTGCATCTTCAGTATTGATGTGGAGAGAAATTAGACTAAGAGCTCCCATCCAGGGGGTTCAACCACAAAGTATGCATTCTGATACCATCCTTTATGCCATCATAAGAGGAGGCGGACACTATAATAAAATGATTAAGAGCCCATGCTTTGAAATCAGGCATTCCTGGGATCAGATCCTACCTTGAGGACTTACAAGGTGCTTTGTAGTCTTCAGTACTGCACCGTTGAGTAACTCAGTCTTCTCATCTGCAAAATGGGGATGATAACAATGCCTACCTCACAGAATCATCAAGAAGAT